TTGCTTTTAACGGCAATAACAAATGCCCCAAAGAAGACATTTACTGAAGACGACATCAAGCGCATCTACCTCTTCTGCGCTCCACAGAACGATTGCTTTCTGCGCCGTTGCGAAAAGTGCCCAAAAACGCAGAGCATCTCGCTGCAGTCGCTTCATCTCGACGAAGACCAAGAGATCTGTTTCGCGTTATGGGACGCTGGCGAACTCGTCAAAAAGGTTATGGACACTTCTGCCTTCCTGCGGCAATAGGAGAGCGAAAAGTATATGAGGCATTCTTACATCCTTGACCTTGAACGAAGCCTGATACATGACACAAGAACCGCCTTACCACCCAAGGCAGTGATGTTCCACTTCGATTTTGCGGAAAAATGGACAGTACTCTTTCCAACCGAAGTGCAGAGTTTTCATTGAAAAAAAAAACTCAAGTGTCTCTCTCCACAAGTGTGGTTACGTCCACGCAAGGCACGCAAAGCTTTGCCGTTGTCACCGATGGTACACGAAACATGACACAGCTCACGCTCTTCTAGCCACATAGGCCATAAAAGAGTATGTTAATGTTCATTTCCCAGTCTTTTTTGAAATAATTTTTGTATCAGACGGAGCGGCGGCGCATTTCAAGAATCGCTTCCAATTCCACGAATTGTCTCGGAAGCCGCACTCTTCGGCAAGATGGATCTTTTCAGCCACTGGGCACGGAGAAAGCGCTTGTGATGAAGTAGGTGAAAGAACCAACGCTCACCAAGTTGAGATCTTCGCTCAACTCAACGATTGCCACCGCTAAAGACTTTGTGGAAGTGCTACGTAAAAAAGTAACAAATGTCTGCATGTTTAACCTGTCTGTGGAACGGGTTCGAGAGTTTCGTGCGGTAAAGCAAGCAGAGTGAACCACATAAAACCTGTGAGAGGAATCCAGGCTTCTTATCTGTGGAAGTCATCATATGCCGAGAAGCCGGATGTATACATGGCCACTCGCATAACTGAGAGTTTTAAGCTTATCTATGCATACTTAGCGAATTCGCACAGTGGGGCCGTTTTGTTCCTGTGAATTGTAAGCTAATTAATGGTATTCCAGCTCAAAGTCCATTTTCGCGTCACTAATACTCAGCCCTTATGAAAAAAAGAATTTTAATAATATAAAATACATGCCATAACTAACGCTCAAAACGTTTGGTGCTGTGCGGCAAAGCCGCTATGACGAAGACGTCCGCTCGCTCCGAGTGAAGGTTTGTCGTAGCTTTTCCCGCTTGGAGGTCATATGTTACTCAATCTTTTGCCATCATAGGTTAGTTCAAGTCACTGCAAAGTGCCAAGGGGAGTTTGAAGAAAATAAAAGATGGAGTTTTTTTAAATATCGACGCCCAATCTTGCCACATTTTGAGAAATCAGCCGAATTTCCGCGTTGATAACAAAAATATGTTTAAGGGAGGGCATATTATATTTATATATTCGTAAAGAATATTTAAATACGCGCATTTTGATATGTTTTGTGAAGTATTATGAAAGATGGTTTATTTGCAAAAAAATTGTGAATATATGTCAAAAACGCATTTTTGTGGCATGTTTGATATTTTTGTTTGCATTGAAATATTTTATGGATATTTTTAATTTTTTATGTATGTGTTGTATAACCTTTGTAAAACCTATTAAAAAAGTTATGGTGCCGTGAAAGGTTCGAAAAGGAAATGACGACTGTGAAAAGTAGCATTGTGAAATCTTCTGAATTTCCACGCCTTAAGCTTCTCTATTTTATATCTCAGCGAAAACAATTGTTACGGTGTTCATATCTAGCTGAATGTTCCTCCCAAAAACATAGCTTTGATATATATTTTTAACAAAAATATCTAAAATATGACCCGGACCATCATTGCATGAATTGACGTGGAATCACCCTATTGCACGCATATCTTTCCGTGTGTCTTAATCACATGATTCGGTTAATGTTCCAAAATGCCCGTGCGAGCTTTGTCATCGATTTTTATAATGCCAGTGTGTTTCGAGAGTGTCCCCATTGTGCTCGGGTGGTCCGTCGGTTTCGGCGCCTCGCGTGGTTCCAGAGTTCCTTTTTTGTTTCTGAATTTTTGCGGGCAAAAATCCTTTCGTGGTATGGGCGTGTGTGACGTACCCGTCTTGGGTTAATCCTCGAAATGGGGCGCTCGGGCCCAACCCAAGATCCGGCCAGGTGCGCGCGCGCGGGTGTGTGCGTGTGTTTGAGTGTGTGAGAGACAAGAAGAGCGAAGCAAGGAGACGCTCTTCGGGAGCGGTGAGGAACGCGGATGCACCCCTCTGAAACTGCTGGGCATCTACCCTCTGATGGGTGAAGTGGACCAAACTGATAGGCGACTACCCTCCAATGGGGAAAATGGACAAGCCTGCAGAAGGGAACAAAAAGGGAAGAGAGCCCGGGGACGAGCTCTCGGGCGGCGGAGACGGAGGGTGGGAGGCGAGGCCAGGCCGGTGGGAAGCGGAACAAAGGGAATCGGGGAGGCTGCGGGGCGACACCAACGAGAGTGTCGACATTCCTGGACTCTGCGCCACTTCGAGAGCCTCCGAGACATCCAAGCTCCCTTCGAGACGTCCACCTTCCCTTCGAGACGTCCAAGTCCGCTCCGAGACTCCACCCAAGCAGTCAACAAAGTCGTGAGTGTTGGCCCTTCAAACTCATTATCGCGTCGTGGCGTGGAACTCTGCCGCAACATTCCTAATTATTTTACGAGACTGTGAGCCATTGTATGCCGTACTTATTTTCCTTACCTGTATAAAGTTGCAATTTTTATTATAGACAGCCCTGGGTTCCTCACTCCAGTGACAGAGCCCGTGACGACTTAGTGACCGGAACGAAGAGTTTAGGGTCGTCACAATGTCAAGAATTGCTCCTTTCACGGAGCAAAATGGCGACCATGCGGGGAGCTTGGCGATACTTTTACAGGAACCATGTGACTCTATCTCTTCCGTCTGCGCGTAAAAGCCTGCCGAGCTCGGAACCCCCGTAGCTACCCCCCTCCCCCAAGCACACACCCGCCACACAAACACACGCAACCAGTGAGTCTACACCGGCGTGCCTCGCCGGTGTAGATGCCCGGCCCGTCCACATGTTAACTTAGGGGTTCTGCTGGAGGAGGTTTGGGTGTGCCTGGCCGCCTTCGCCGTAACCCTTGGGTTTGGGGGAAGGCTTGCGGGGAATGAGTCGCCGTGAAAACGATACGGGTACAACCATGGTTAAAGAAAAGTACTCTCTATATTTAGTACGTAAATGGACGTATAAAAATTATTTGAACGTAGCGCAGTCTCGGCGGCGTCCAAAAATACGACCACATCTACTATGTTGTTCCACGTACCTACTGCTTAAGCAAACATGTTCCAGGTCTCCGTTACAGTTCCATGTAAGAGGTTACGTTCGCCTTCGTTTCTACACCTAAAACAAAAGCGTTAGAGGAAAAGCGTTCCGTACTGCGCCGCTATTGTGACCTGGGAGGTTCGGAACGTAACGTGGGACCTGCTAAAGATACACGACTGTCCTCAAGAAATCTTATTTTTTGAGTGCCTTGGTCGGACACGTCTGTCACAAAATAAATGTTCCGGAAAGAAAGCAACAATTGCCGCAATATTTACGCCAACGCAATTAATGCGGTGAAGACCACGCACATGCGTTGTCTCTACCACGAACAGTGGTAGAGATGCATCTCTGCACGCACAGTGCATCAGTTATAAACGCCGAGTCAGCTCTCATCGGCTTCCGAGATGATTGACGTGCGGAATGACGGTTGTAAAATTGTTGTTCGTAAAATAACAATGGTTTCTTTTTAGGCATACTTTTATGCTTTATTTCGGCTTTGAGTTCAAAAGATAGCAGGCACGACTGCCGCCACTCGGGGCGAGTAGCTCAAAACACTGCATACCTCGGCTGGTGGAATTATCATGAGTGCGAGCAGTTTTGCGTTTGCCGAGATGTTTATAGAAAGATCTCCAAGGCCGACGTAGTTTGCACCCAAAAAACGTGTCGCAATTACAACACCGAACGTAGCGCAGAGCCCTAAGCACTGAAGCCTCGCATGGGTGCATGTTTTCGTAGCGTGGCTGGCACAGACCTATGCGCTCCGTTTCACTTAATTTGCGAATGCAAGGAACGCTACCTACATCCAATGGAGCCAATCACGCAGCTCCAAAAGTGCCTCGTCATGATGCTCATCTATTTTTGGGCGTGTGATATCACCGGCTAAACCAATCGAGCAGGAATTAAAACACGGAATGGCAGCACATTCAATGCGCGGGATTCGTTCATTCCGTGGGAGTACATGCACAAAAACTACGAGCTCTATGACGAAACACTTCAGGCACAGCTTGAGCGCCTCTCATTGGATCGTAGAATCGATTTCGGTCGGTAGGGGTGAGAAACAGGGTATAGCCTCCCAACTCAAATTGTTTGTTTGATCTTGCTTGATTTGATGGTTTGCGCACGTTGATACCGAATAAAGGTGTCGGTTCTCGTAAAACCGGAGCGATTGCAACCATGATTTTTATAGTGTCAGAATACTTACAGGTAAGAATTTGCGAGCCACTTGGAGGGTACCAAGGCCGACCGCAGGTTCAGCTGCTTTTTCTGAAGAGGTTCTGGCGACGCCAGAAAGACGCCGAGCTCCGATTGTTTCTGAATGAAAGAGCGTGGGTACACCTCAAAGCAGCTTGCTTTAAGGTCTGACCACTATCCTTCAATCAGAGCCAATCAAAACTCGTCGCCTTTCTGGCGTCACCGCAACTCCGACTCAAGAAGCCGACGACTTCTTCTCAGCGTTGGATGTTCGCTTAGTGTCGGGTTTCTTCAGGTATGCTCACTAAACGCCACGGGAACTTGAAAAAAAGAAAAAAAGTCACCCAGTCCCAGATTCGTTGATTGTTAAATTCTTAGCTGTGTGGTTCAATCAAAAATCGTGCATCAAACTTAACTCCTTATTTCACTTAATACGCGTTACTACTGTTTTCCTCAGCTTTGTTAAGCTGCATTTTATTGTTTAACCAAAGGTGCGCAAATCAATATCTGATGTCTGCACTGTGCTTCGCGGCAACGCAGGACAGAGGGGCACGCCCAGCTTAGTGCCGAGGTTTGTGGGCGCGCACCAGAAACTGGGAGTTGCGGAAAGGTGAGCCACCGGCCTTTTCCTCGGCCAACAACTTGGCTCCTTCTTCGGCGACGTCCTTGAGAAGGAGAGGCTTCTCTTCTTCTGTTACAAGGCTGGCGAGTCTAATAATTCCCATATGCACTCCTGAAAATGAGAGTAAAAAAAACGTTTTTGCAGTTACTAGCCCGGAAATAAGTATCAGAAAGTCCGTTGCGGCACTCGTTTGAAGAAGACTCCCCTACTTTAGCCCATGAAGGCAGGACGCGTCTTTTGATTTATGCTCACGATTCTTCCTTCGTGTTTCGTTGTTTCTTGTTCTCATCGACTGATACCGCAGTCGTATTGAAATAAGGAGCAATAATACAATTCTCTGGACTCGATACGCTGCGAGGTTCACGCCATCGGTGAATATATTATAATTATCGCTAATGCAAAGACCAGGGGATCCACATATAACTTGTCCAAGTAAAGGGTCTGTAGGCATAAAAAAGTGACAGGAGGCACCAGGGAAAATCAGTAGCGTCACAAGCGTTGAGAAGAGGGCTTGGCGGGAAGGATTCAAAATGAAGAATTTTCAATGAAGAGCCAACGACTTTGGCTCTTGCACCTCTTGACTACATTAAATCTCTTGACTCATTTCCAAAGAGTCAATTGGTCCAACGACAGAAGTGATCCTACATAAACCTGCCAAATCCTCTACCCCGCATGAGAAACTGGCCATATATACTCTCCAAAAATATTCCCGGATATATATGCGCCATCTTAGAAACTAAACGAACTGTTCAAAAACACGTAAAACACCAATCCGACTGGAAATTTGCCAAATAAGTGAAAAACTGCGGTGTCACAAAGGGCAGACGCATAATAAACAAGTTGACTTTGATACAAATTTACGGCTACCTCTTGATTCGCGCAATGCAAAAACCTCGACTGATCATTCAAAACACCTTTCGTTTGCAAATTATTATTTTTTTCAAATGTATAAATTAAGCTTGAGTAAAAAATTAATTAATCTGAATTATCACTCCTGTCTAACAGTGGAATGGTCATTGGCAAGCGAAATTTGCTGTGGGTTAACTTTTAACCTACCATATATCTTAACTTATTGGATCTCTTTATCCGTCAGATGTCTTGATTGGTTGAATCACTTAAGTCAATCGACCTTTCGATTTGTTGGGCCTATTTATATATATTAGATCTGTTCACTCGATGGATCTCTTGACAAAATGAATCTCTCGGCCAGAAGCGGCGGTAAGAGGAGGGAGGGATGATGGCGGCTTTTTCTAGAAGAATAAAACAAATCAAGAAATCCAAAAAATCGGGACATCCGACGGTCAATTGCCAGGCAAGTCAAAAGGTATAGTGATGTCTCGTTAATAAGGACGCCTCCGTTCTCCCCAAAAATCGTCCATAATGTGGGTTGTCCAAATTAACGAGGAAAAAAAGTGAAAGCCGTTTACATCTCCCTGTAACGCCGAATTAGAGCGCAGCTCTTGAGGAGGAGGAGGGAAGGGTACTGGGGGGTCAAGTGACCTTGGGTGGGGGTCACGTGACGATGACGATGCTGATGACGTCATCAGTAACAATGACGATGCGGATACCGATGACGTCATCAGTGATGATGAAAATGACGATGCGGATGCCGGTGACGTCATATAGTGATGATGACGATGACGATGCGGATGCCGGAGACGCCATCAGTGACGTCACTGATGACGTCATCAGCGATGATGACGATGCGGATGCCGGTGACGTCATCAGTGATGATGATGATGACGATGCAGATGCCGGTGACGTCACTGATGACGTCATCAGTGATGATGATGACGACGATGCGGATGCCGGTGACGTCATCAGTGATGATGATGATGACGATGCGGATGCCGGTGACGTCATCAGTGATGATGACGATGACGATGTGGATGCCGGTGACGTCATCAGTGATGATGATGATGACGATGCGGATGCAGGTGACGTCATCAGTGACGTCACTGATGACGTCGTCAGCGATGATGACGATGACGATGCGGATGCCGGAGACGTCATCAGTGATGATGACGATGACAGTGCGGATGCCGGTGACGTCATCAGTGACGTCACTGATGACGTCATCAGTGATGATGACAATGACGGTGCGGATGCCGGTGACGTCATCAGTGACGATGACGATGACGATGTGGATGCCGGTGACGTCATCAGTGATGATGACGATACGGATGCCGGTGACGTCATAAGTGGCGTCACTGATGACGTCATCAGCGATGATGACGATGACGATGCGGGTGCCGGTGACGTCATCAGCGATGATGACGATGCGGATGCCGGTGACGTCATCAGTGATGATGACGATGACGATGCGGATGCCGGTGACGTCATCAGTGATGATGACAATGACGATGCGGATGCCGGTGACGTCATCAGTGATGATGACGATGACGATGCGGATGCCGGTGACTTTATCAGTGACGTCACTGATGACGTCATCGGGGGTCACGTGACCCCGGGGGTCACGTGACTTGGGGAGCCACGTGACTTTGGGTGTCACGTGACCTTGGGGTCACGTGACCCTGGGGAAGGGGTCACGTGACCTTGGAGTGACCTTGGGGAGTCACGTGACCCCCGATGACCCTTGGGGAGGGGTCACGTGACCTTGGGGTGACCTTGGGGTCACGTGACCTTGGGATGACCTTGGTTACGCCGACGCCGACGGCGACGCCGGCGCCGCTCAAGCCGGGAACGGGCCCCTAAGAGCTGCGCTCTAAAAAGGCGTGTATTTACTCTCTTTTCCCCCGAAAATTGTGTCCACATAGCGGGGTATCCTTATTAAAAGGGTCCGTATTAACGAGACTTGACTGTACCAAGTCAGAGAGATGCAATATCCTCAGCAGTTTACCATGATGAAATTAACACGAGACTGGAGCACAACCAGCCTGCCTGCGCGCACTGACCGTAATTTTGTAAATGGTCAAGCGATTCGCCGTGTCAAGCAATTGAATGAATCAAGAACGCGGTGCTTGTGAGGTTAAAAAAACACCCTACAAAGGATTCGGCCTGTCGGACACGATTAAGTTGACTAGCCGATCTGCACTTGGTCAGAGAATTCCTTTAATGACTAGCCTTTCTCTTTTTTTTGCTGAGATTGCTCGTGATGCTAAACACGGTTACTGTACGACAGTGTTCTCTGACAAAGCAACGGTGCAACGACATTCAATTGGAATGTTTTTCATTTTACACGAGCTTACTGGCACTAGTGGGACTGAAGGATACTTGCACGCAGCACCAATGGCCAAGAAACGCCTTTGTTGCTGTGTACTTTCAAGGACAAAAGGGAGCGTTTTCATTTAATCTCTCCGCAAAACTTGACGACGTAGCTGGGCGGGCGCAGTACCGCCGAGTGACGATATTTGAATGGGGCTCATAGATTCAACCCGAGCATTGCTTGAGTACTCGATTTGTGCTCGTGATAATCGATAGCTCGAGAAGCATTCGGGTAGTGGCCCGCGTCCAATCGCTGCAATAATGACAATAGCCGATCATAACAATGTCTGGAGCTCAGAGCGTGTCCTCTGCCTTGCCAAATCCAGCGCGTGGCTATGAACAACATTGGCAGCATATAACTGTCTCCAGATCACGTGGCCGCTTGCTCTTGCTGCGAGTCGAGCGGGTGAACGCTGCTTGTTTTTCTTTAATTTTATCTGCGACTACGATTGCGTGTGAGGAAAAACGAATGTGTGTTTCACAGGCCATTAAAGGGCAACGCCGGCAAAAGCTCAAAATGAAATAAATTACTGGTATCACTGTATTGACACAAAATACGACCCCAGCCAAAATATTACGTCCGTGGGACGCCACATTTTCAACTTATGCCGATATTAAAAATGCGACCCGCCGCGAGCCGTTGCTCCTTAGCGGGCGGCCAGCGGGTTGCCGATCGCTAAAGAAACATTGGGCTGTGACGTCCGTATCGTTCTCTTTTTTTCCTCTGATCCGTCTGGTCCGGGCGTTGCGCGGAGCGCGGTTCTTTGAGCCGCTACCACCGCTACTTTGGCTTGTGATAGGCGTGTTTAGCCGTTGCTTTTATCTCTAGCCCGTGTAGCTTCTGTATAGCCTTTTGTTTATTTGCTTGTGAGGACTCCAAGACTCGTTTTAGAGAGCAACTCGGTGCGCCCAAGACTGCCCAGCTGTTAATCGAAAGATGCCGAGTGCAACTTGTAACGCAGTGGGCTGCTCAAACAACCCGCTGCGCGAAACAGAGGTGCTTTTTCACAAGTGTCCGACGGACCGGAAATTGGAGAAGGTGTGGGTGAACGCTGTTCGACGAGTGGACTTTGGACTTTGGCTTTTACGCGCCCGAGGAAGAAAGAACGAAAAAATGAAAGCCGTTTACAAATCCCTGTAACGCCGAATTGGAGCGCAGCTCTTGAGGAAAAGTAGGGAAGGGTACTGAGGGGGTCATATCACCTGCGGGTAGTCACGTGACCCCGGGGGGTGACGTGATCTCGGGGGAGGGGAGTCACGTGACCTCGGGGGGGGGGGGGTCACGTGACCCCCCCCCTTCGGTTACGCTGACGCCGACGACAACGCCGACGACAACGCCGACGCCGACGGCGACGCCGACGCCGACGCCGACGCCGCTCAGGCTGGAAACGGGCCCCTAAGAGCTGCGCTCTAAAAACAGACATGTACAGCCCAGCACACGTGTGTTCGGGCGCCGCGGCCCACGCCGGAGAGCCTCAAAGCTTCGTTTTTGGGACTGACCCGCAGCGCGAAAGCGAGAGGGCCCCCAGTACTGTATTGTCACTGGCAGCGCGGCGTAGAGCAACGCCGCTCCATCCACGGAGCCCCGATGACAATTAAGGCCTAGCGACGAGTACGGAAGACCGCACACACGGCGACAGCCGCCGAGTACGGCACCGAACAAGTTCACTCGTTTTCCAGTCGCTAGCTTTTGGGCATGCAACCGACGAGTAGGCATAGCGCACGCACGGCGGCGGCCGCCGAGTACGGAACCGTGCGAGTTCACGGGTTTTCCAGTCGCTAGCTTTTGGGTACACGCACTAACGCTTGCTACATATGCTGGATAACTACCCCGCATACAGAATTTTAAAGAAATCAGCTCTCCTCCTATCTTTAGACGGCTAGCGCAACAGAGGTAGGGGCCGCTCGGCCTGTGTACTCGTTGAACGAGAACGATCCTGACGCCACGTTCACATAGCGGCTGATTTGCAGTGTTACCGGGACCTCGAGCGGCTAGTTTCGGTTTTGTTGGCCGTGTCCCAAAAAATTTTTTTTGAGGCATCTATATCTTTAAAACTACGCACAATAATGAGAAAAAAATTACACCTTGCAATTCAGGGACGCTGACTGTACTAAAAGCAGTCATAATCCCAAAATCGAAAGTATGGACCGGAGTTGCCCTTTAAAGTCAGGGATCCGTACTAAGCGGCAGTTGCGCAAAGTACAAAAATCGTTCCCTGGCTAATTGAATAGCCTCTTTTTTTTTTCATTCCGAGATTGTTAATTACACTTTTGTTATGAAAGATTTTGTTTTCAAGACAACAATCTGTCATCTCTGTTATAAATCGTTTTTTTTTTATTCCAACATAGCTAGCCATAATTTCGCTATGAAAGGTAGTTCTTACTTGCAAAAGACAACAATGTATCATCTGTGGTGCGAGTTTCTAAACACTTTGGAGTTTTATGTATTGCATTCGTTTCGTTGAGCTTCAGGGATTGAGCCCATATGTCCTGAAATATCATTGGGGAACCCCTATATCCAGTTGGGAGAAATAAAAGTAGAGAGGTCAATCTGGAATCTCCAGAGTCGTCAACGTTTTGGGACATCAGTCAAGGAATGATATATAGGTCAAAAGGACAAACAAGTAAGAGGTTTATGGTGAGTCAAGTGGTTCCTCGAGCCATGAGATCCAGCGAAACAATGGGTCAATTATTCAATTTTTTTTTTATCGTTGGCTCTCTTGACTTGTTTTACCTCTGATTTGACATCAGCGATGCCCTTCTCTGCCAAACACCACATAGATAGAGAGCCGTAGTGCTGATTTTTGTAGCTCACACTGGAAAGACTACCACAGGACGCATATCAGACACGAGTGCTGTTTCAGCGTTTGGCTGGAAGTCATACTTTAACTCATTGCAAACAAGCTTCAGCCGAACACTAACGCAACACTCGCGTTGAATTTATCAATGCGTTGTGCTTCTGTACGTGAGGTATAAACTTCACTGCGGCTCTTTAGCGACATTCGGTTGCCCTGCACCCCTGTTAAGAGAATAATAAAAAGCGTCCAGTTGTTCCCAGGCTTACTTGTGTATTCCTCAACGCTGGACCACCTGCGGCCTTCTTCGAGCACCTCACACGTGGTTGGAATCAGATCGGCGTTCTTCACAAGACTAGATATGTAAGACAGACGGGCATCTCGGTCCGGCAAATCCAGGGCTGGAAGATGCGTCGGGAGCACCTGCGTGACGGTATGAATAATGAATCATAAAGTGGTACAGTTTTATGTTCATCATTAAAAACACAATATTTCAAGAACGTGAAGTTCAAGGTCACGGAGTAGTGCCCAAGGGCTATTGAACAACTAAAAAAATATGCATTGATATTGTGGCTGGTCTCTCTCTGCCGACTAAGCCTCGGTAGTCCCAACTCCACGGCGTGACACCATCGCGGAAGCGGATTCGTCGTAATCGTAGCGTGATGTTCTTTCCGAGCCTAGATCGAACTCCATTAATAAATGACAGTAACAACGTTTATTACCTGATGACAACAACAAATGTGCTAACGGACGGCATCAAAATATTTTATCAAGGGGTATTCACTTCCCCGATAGCCGGCTGTGTTCCTCAGGACGTCCTCGGTGAAGTCTCCAGGCTCCTACGCGACGGTCCGAAGTCCCCTAGGAAAGTGTGCCAAACCTGAAAAGCGTTTCCTTCGGTTTCCCCTGGTTTCGGTGGGACGCCGGTCCTCAGTGGTCATTCAGGAGCGAAGTTTTGGTGTATTATTGTTCAGAGGCCTATGATGTACCCCTTGAGTTCAGAGAGAGGGCTGTTCTGTCAGAGTATGAGACTGTTTCGACTAAGCGAGGCACACATCTGCGTCCAAACAAGCCGATCGGGCATTCAAATACGCCAAAAATATGGCCGCTCCGACTCGCTGCACACCAAATCTCGAGTTGCGTGATGTAATTGCTCCACTTGCGGAGCGGAGCGGCGCGCAATTATATCCCCGGTCACTTTCTCGACTTCAGCGAAATCCGTGCTACGTAGCGGCAACAGAGAAAAACTGAGAGAAGGTCTTTTCGCAAATTTCATCTGGCTTCTGTGCTTGGTTCTTGTAGGCAAGAGCTTCCCATGTTCTTCTAATATAAATTTTAATAAATTAATCTAGAATGTTTTATATGGCTTGCACCAAACCGTTTACTGTTTAGGGAATTCTGTTACAAAGCTAACGTCACACGAAGGCTGCGTCAGCGGTCGGCCGAACCTTGCTTCTTCAGTGATTGGACACGTGCTCCAGACGAACGCTCCCGCAAAATGGGTGCTGTGCAGGGAGCGCGCTTGGCTGCGGTATTTGCCTTACTCCAGCACTACGGCTTTGTTAACGCCCTTTCGCACATCACAATTTGCGTAAGTCACGTTAGCTGGGCCTCAAAAATCATTGCTCGAGGAGATACGAGTTAGTACCACGACCAGTTGATATATATATACCTATCAAGCATAGCGGCAAAAACGAGCGATCTCTGCGTGCTTTCAACAGTTTTTGTGCGTGTGTGTGTTTGTGTGTGTGTCTGTTTTTGTGGATTAAGCCGTTTACGCGGAAGCCAAATAACGGCGCGATTCTTCCATCTTGTCCGTTCCGGTATGACTCGTTCCCGGAGTTTACGCTACGGCGAAAATGGTGGTGCTACCACGGGATATAGCTCGGCGCTGCGTCACATTCTGTAAGACCACTGCATTTGCCATAATACTGAACGACAAGGGATATTTCTTTTGAAATGGTACCATGTGAGTTTGAGGGAAGCGGAAGAGCAGTGGCGTCACTAGGTTCAGCGGCACCGGCGACGGTGACCGACAGCGAAATCCGAGACACCCCCCTCCTCTCGTGATCAGCCGCGACACCACTCTGAGCGCTGCACCCGGGGCAGTCTCCCCCCCCCCCCCCTTTCACACACACACACACACCGCCCTTGTAATGCAACAGCTAAAGAGGTCGTGGAAAAGAAATACAGTAAATATTGTAATGTAGACACCTTCATAATCATATGTGTCTTAAGTTTTATTTCGATCTTAAAAGTAGGAGTGTCGTAATAGCTAACTAGAATTTCAACGTAGACCGTCCCGTTCCAGCGCACCTACACTGGGAAAGCAGGAGAGCGGAGAAAGAAACCAGCAAAAGTGACATCTTCAGCGGGGTCAGGTGACTTTTGCTCGCCACTAAGCTGTCTCGGGGATGCCGCCAATGACGTCACGACGATCCGTACAGATAACAGGTGGCAGAGAGGATCGCCGCATGCCCAGCGGCAATCGCTGTACGTATGTTTCTAAATAAATGCAATTTATGTTTACTTCTGCCCAAGGTAAGTGCGATAACTGAATCAACGGGACAAAAAGCTATATAAGTCCGCTCCAAACTCAGATTTCTTGGCAAGTGCTCCAGCTTCCCTTGCTTTCACAAGGAGCGCGTGTTTGTAACTTTCCTCCTCTCTTTCGTTTATTGCAACGCGTTGGGCAAAAATACTATTCTCTTCAGTCGATACTGAGTGTGTTTTTACGAAGAATCTCTGAACCAGAGATACACAATGGAAACTTGAGAAATCCGAGCGACCTGCAAACCACGCTTTGAAACCTTTGTGATTTACCTAACGTTTATGACAATATGGCGAGAAACTGAGCGGAAGCAAGAAATGTTACCATCCGCCCGGACGTCAGAACACCAAGTTATGATTGGAAGGATCAGTGGGTAGAAGCAAATGCTAGCATGCCGTTGGCTCAACTCTTAGGCTCTTTCCATTTACCTGCACCTCCTGCACCGGTGCAGAAAAGTGTAGGACGGTGTACTTCCGATTGTTTCTCAATGCATATATCGGAACTACACTGCCCTAGATTTTCCTGCACCGGAGCAAGAGGTGAGAGTAACTCCAACGAGCCTAGTATGTCCCGCACTTAGATCGAACAATAGGGTCGTCTGGTTCTCCTGCAGTGCCTCGCGTTCGAAAGCCTGAAACCAGTTTTCGGCGCTTTAACGGTTTCGAACGGTGAGTAGAGAGACAAAGTCAACTACCCTGTCCGTTCGCCCCTTCTCCTTTCGATCAGAGCCCGGGCAGAAGACGTTCCAGGGAACTCTCATCTTCCTCTGTCCCTCAGGCTCTCTCCATCTAGGGAGGTAGAGTAGATCGTTCCGATGACTTCGACAACAAAACAAAGTACTCCGCCGACGCCTTCGCGCATACATCTTGTCGTTATCGGCTATCGTTATCGCAAGTATCAGGGAAATCTTTAATTCTGCATTGAAATATGTGCTACTAATTTCATTGTCATTTCGGCTTGTGAGAGATACGTTTTGCATAACCTACAGCCTGCAAATTGTATCGTGTTGATTGCCACTTAAAACCATTGGAAATACACCAGAAAATTCTTGTATGAACTGCTTCGCTTGCCAGATCCCTGTTCGTTAGTATTGCAAGTGAAAACATTAAGGGTTACGTCCACTCTCGTAGTACTGTATTGTCAGTTGTACGTTTTTAATGTGAAAACATAAAGAAGGGGGGGGGGGGGAAGTCCCATGGAGCGAAGCCAGCCTTATCTGATGTTTGTCGCAGCAAAAAACGGCGCCTAAATACCCATAGTCTCAGCCAAACAGCACTTAAATTCCCATTAACTGCTAAACAAACACGCGTCAAAAAAAAACAGAAAAAAAAACACACACACACAAAAAAAGCACAGCAAAGAAAATCACAAGGTTTGACTGTGTTTCAGAGGAAAAAAAAACTGCCACGTCAGTTTTGGATGTTTTCCCACGGTGCACCAAAGGGCTTAGATTCACCTACGAACTTCGGGAGGGTCGCTTTTTAAAATTTCTTGACCTCTGGTTAGAATTCACAGGTAGTCGTTTCCCTAGGTCGTATGATAAAACGATCAAAGAAGGGTCTTCTCTCCTTCGACTCCTTGCATTCTGAACTTGTAAAAAAGTATTGCATCATCTTGCCTACATTCGGCTGTGGAAAAATCATGCCACCATGTTATGCATGCCATTTTCACCCGGCAGGTGGAGCGACTGGTTGCGGCTGGATTTCCCACATCGTTGTTCGCTCCAGTTGCAGAGTTTCTGCTTAAGAAAATGAGGGGAGGGCAACAGTGTAAAAAATTGGCCAACCAATAACATGATAGACATTTCCTATTTTCATCAAATTCCCACAATCTAAAAAAAACTGGCCCATGGATACGACGTGCCTATGCTGTTTCCAGCACCTATCAAACTTGCGCAATTGTTCCCAAGAGTTGCCAACAAAAGTGGGTCCAAGCGCATTTGCTCAGTGAAACATAGGAACAAATATGTGGAGTGTACGATGGGCGTCATGTATGGGATTCCGCTAGCGTGTGGCAAGGTATACGTTGGCCAAACGGACCGACGTATAAATGAAAGACTGCGTGAGCATGCTTGGTCTCCGGGGTCGAAAGCTTTGGGGCACTTGCGACTTCATAGTGCAGATTAGTGCAGATCATAGTGCAGATAGTGCAGCCCGACTTCTATGACGTCACGATTGCTTGAAGGAGGGGGGGTGGGTGAGATCAGATTACTAGGGAAATGTCAGAGGTTTACACTATCAAAAAATAAGCAACTGGGAAATCTGGAAGCCAAACATCTGTCCCTCTTCATTCTTCATGGGTAAGAGATCTGTTATCTGGAAGAGTGCGGAACTAGCCATGATGATGTGGGATGCGATTGTTTACTTTGGTGTTAATCTTCAGTAAAAAACCAGTTGAAAATAAGCGCTTGTCCTGTGTACACCTTCTACATCGTCTTTTTCTTGTGTGCTGTGTCGAATTTACTCAGCATCAACCAGCTAGCCCACATCGCCACCCTAATTGAAGAACTTAGGCACACAAGGAGAGCGCAATAAGCTGTTTGTGGTGACCTCCCCTCATAAACGGAGCGCTTAAGCTCCCCACAAAGTGCATAGCTTGGTCGGGATTGAAGCTGGTCTTCATTACTTTCTTTACATAGCGCTCTGCCTTGAAAGCAGACACCTTTTTCGGTTGCTTGTACGACGCGACACCGGAGTGACGATTGTGTGACACTGTGTAGACTAAGGAACCGATGCGGCCTAGGCTGTCTATCCATCTTTGAATGTGCATAGACGAACTAGGTCGTAGACAGTGACTTTCTCTTTTTTCGTAGACAGTGACTTTCTCTGAAACTCCAGGGTCATTTTTAGCCTTTTCGAACCAAATATGCATGCGAAGCGACGCCAGAATACACGTTCTGAATGGCGAAAGGCCGAACAACGTAAACACACGGACAAGGAGACACGCCTGGCGCTGGCGCAGACAAAACGGTCACGGAGCCCTCACAAGCGTTTCGAACGATTTTAGCAGGGCGCGCCACGATCCTGGCCAAATTCTGAAAAACGTTCATTGAGCGTGTAAAACGGTAAACAGATATCCAATAGTCTCAGGATAACAAAAAAAGATCACTTTTATAAAAACATTTCGCGTGCTTTATGACTGTTTTTTCTCAGCGGATTTATCTCAGACCTACACGGCTGCCTGGAATTTTATACCTTTACCACATTTCTAAAAGGAGAATGGCACGCGATTTTTATATTTCAAGCTGTATTTATTAAGAACCAACCAATTTCAAAGGCCGTGGAAGTACGATATGTAAATGTCTCAAACCACAACCCCTAAACGATTTAAAACAAAAAAGTCAACTGGTGCCAAGGACCTAACGCCGGTCACCGGAGCGGAAGCCGAGTACGCTGTTGACCGAGCTACAGACCCAGCACACAGGAACGGGAGACGCAGAAGCAGGTGGTGTGAGGAACCGCCCGGAGAGGAGAAGGGTGCAAAGGGCAAGAAAGAGAGGACAGAAACGAGTAGTCTCGAAAGAGCACGCGGAACGAGAAGGAGTGGAAGGGGCGGGAAAGCGTACTTTCCCTTTCTTTGTGACCCAAAAAATTCAGCGCAAAGGCTTTGTGTTTGGGCGGTGCTGACGGGAAGCGCGAGCAGCGTGCCATAGACGCAATATGTAACGTAATCTGTTAAAAAAAAAGAAAAAAAAAAACGCTTCACTAGACATTATTTGAACTAAGAGCAGCACCCACAACACGCACTAAAACTAAGGCTCATTCTGCCCTACGCACCACCCGAACTAAGAACACCACCCACCCCATAAAGCCACCGCATTTAAAGGGGTAGGAAAACAAAATTCCAGCGCTCATTGTATCGCTTTAATGTGTTGCATGTTGCAGCATAACCTCAAAAACGCCAGTCTTGCGTTGAAAGTCACAAGCAAACTAATTTTAAGCTTATTAAACGAGCTTTCAATGTGCACCTAATGCACGCATGCGGAGCCTATTTGAGAGGTAATCTAGCAATGTTGGGGAACTTGCTACGAAGTCATGACTTAGCAAGTTCCATCGGAGCAGCGCCGCTCTTTGGCATTTCGACATTTTCTTTCCTTAGTTTTCTCTTCAACTCACAAATCGCGCATTAAACCAAACAGTCCAAGAAGACGGAAGGAGGGACTCCCCTCTTTCTTGGACCCTCGTTTGTGCACCCGGATACAGTCATTCTCCCCCTACAAGATTAGCGAGACGCTCATAGTTTGGACAAAAGTTTCTTTTCCCAGCCCGTTTACCCCTAAGCTGACAATGCTGTGGAAGCTTTGTGCTCCTTGGGCCAGCCACGTGCTCGTCACCCCACGGGTACTTCGAACGGCTCGGTTGTAACGCGTTGACGCTATTTGACACCACCACAAAGCTGCAACGTCACCAACGGCAAATCTCATAACCACGCCAGCCTTGCTACGCCACGAACGCGGGAAATCTTTTCGTTCTGTTTTTGTTTGCGTCGGACGCCCCATGACGCACTGCGCTCTCCGTTCGCTTCTCATCCAGCGCTCGCTCGATTGTACCGTTTGGAACAAAAAAATATAGCCAGTCGTTCAAAATACAAACGTGCGATTATAATTTATGGTTATTATCCGTCATGTTTGACTCATTTCCGAACGAAATTTGAATATTTCAATTTTGGTTTTCGTACCTCTTCAAAGGGACACTGACACCCTCCAAAACACTTTAATTTTTTTTTTCCATGGGGTTCATTATGGTGTCAAAAGACTTCCTAACCAATGTTTTGCTACAGTGTCACATATATTTTTAATAAAGTAAAGAAAAATGCAACCGCTCAATACTGAAACCAAAGTGGACTGGGGAGGAAGCAAAAATATAAATGAGTAAGACACCGAAAATGATGTGGCGGTGCAACTTTTTTTTTTCTTTTTTCATTCAACGTATTTTTAGTTTCTTAGAAGCCACAAAAATCGGTATATTTTTGGTGCATTTCTAGTACTGAGTGTGTGGCTTCGATGACCCACAACTTTGATTATCTTTGGTGGTCGTGTCTAAAGAATTCACTCTAAAAAAAACCCGTGCGTCTGCTTTCCCGCACAACACTCGGAGAGCCAATCACCGCAACTTACAAAGGCTGCTCAGCAAATGACGATGCCGAAACATATATTTACACCAGAGAACACGGTTTGAGTTGTGACATCAAGCAATGCAAAAGGTCACGCTTGCATTGAAATAATGTCACAACTCAGACTGCGTTTTTTGGTCTAAGCATATGTTTCGGCATCGTCATTCGCTGAGTTGCCTCCGTAAGATGTGGTGATTGGCTCTCCGAGTGTTCTGCGGGAAAGCAGACACTTGGGCTTTTTTTTAGAGGGAATGGAAAAGGGCTCGTGACCACGGAGAAGAGAGTGAGGGGGGACCAGCAGAAATATTCTTCCGCCTGGCGGAAAGTCCTCCTCGCCCTCTTTCTTTCTTGTATTGTAGCACGGCGAGGCGAGAGGAAAGGTCCCCTTTTGCGCCGGCTTCTCCTGAGAGGATAAGCCGAGAAAATCTCCATTCTGAGCGACGGGCGGTGGGTGCGGCAGCAGCGACCTCGTGACTTAAGGGTATCTTCGGCTCGTATCGCGTAATCTGCCCTATTTTTTGGCTCTCGCCAAGCCTAGCCCCTCGGGGGTAGGTTTTACGGAGCTGCAACGCTGCGCCGTCGCAGTCACCGAATTTGAGCTGTCGAAGTTTGGTTTAGCCCGTGGCAAAGTAAACGAATTCTTGGGAGCTGCGATGCATCCCCGCACCTATTGAAGGAGCGTTTCATAGATATTCTCGGTTGATCAAGGAGCTCAACACACATGCGCGAGATGTGGTGATTTGAATATGTGGGGATGACTTACATCTCCACAAAACAGTCCATCTTCAAACAAAAAAAGAAATGGCTTATCACGCTCAAACCTACCTCAAATTGGGACCGATGGAAAAGAAAACGATGTACCAGGCGCGGGCATCTTGTAGAAGGTCTCTGTTTTCTAGCAGCGAGCACGAATTATTGAAGAACTTTAGCAGACTATGTTTTCAGGCCACGCTATATTTAGCGGGAGCTCGCGCTGCGACTTTGATTCTTTATCGCGTACGGCTATGGAGCGGAAAAGACAATATTAAACCCCTTTTTGGCGAGTCTAGTGTGTCGTGTTATGGTTTAACGTTGCTTGTATTGGTATCATAGCACGGGCCGCCACTTCGAAGTATTTATGGTGTCTCAAAGAAACTAAAGGAAAAGCAGAAACGTTTTTTAACGTGACACAGAATTGCATTTAACATTATGAAAAACTGTTAGGTACCCTACGCCATAGGCGTAGACTACGGGGGGGCATCGGGACTCGTGCCCCCCCTGGTGAGATCCGGAGGGGGGGGGGGGGGGAACAGCCCCCCTCCCCCTTCCCCCCCCCCCCCCCGGCCCATGATCCCGACCGACATGCTGCTTACGCGCCATGTAACGAGCTTCTAGTAGTGGTATGTAAACAAAACAACGCCCACGTTGCCTTTATTGACAAAATACGTGGGAAATGGAATCCCAGCGTGTTTACATTAGCTTCAAAAGCTAACGCGCGGCACTCTCCCCCCCCCCCCCCCCCCCAATTCGGGAAAATGGACAATATACGCCGCTGCCCTACGCCACGCAGTTAGCACGAACAAACTATCGGCGGTGTTTCCCACTTTTTTTTTCTGAAGTGAATGATGTTTGTTAAGCTGTTAATGCGAGTATCCCAGCTAAGCGGTAGATTTTAATGGGAGCCAATACATTGCCGGGGAAAATAGCAAAAAGCGGCCATGTCGTGTTTGCGGTGACAGTGTCGCGTAATGTACGCATACCGCTGCACAATCAACGCTAACGGAGTGAATCAGTAAATTTAGTGGCCCCCCAAAAAGTGGTGTTATATTATTTAGTTATTATGGTTGAAAAGTTGTTATTTTTATACAAGCAATTCCGTAAAGAGTGCTTCCATTGGGCACCAACTTACGAGGCATCAATTTGTTTTTATACACTATATTCTGCATGGCCCTTGCGTAAAGAATGTCAATATTGCGTTCGTGCTGGCTGTTTCACGCACACTAAGAAGACCAGTTCATTGCTCGAACATTTAAACAAGGCCTTTCCAAAGAGACATTTTGCGAGTACGCTCTATTACTGGTGGTTTATACAATAATCTACGTTGTTTATTTGGAGGAAAGGAAGTAATGGTGAGGGGAGGGGGAATTGAATATAAAAGACGACTCTAGGGAACCTCGAACCTTGTAAATATTTCGCACAACCTATAATGCTGAGTTAATTAAATCACTTTTGCTTTGTCGGTTTCAGAACTTGTTAAAAGTCGCGCTAAAGGCCAAGACGAACGAAAAGTCAGATGCCCCTGTTTATTTGAGCAAGAAGCGTGTATATGCGAGATAGTACTGAAAAAAGCATACGAGTGTAACCGTAGCAATCTCCGACCAAGCCTGAACCTCCCTTTTTTTGAAACCACGGAGATGGCTGCTTTTGACGACTTGATGAAGCAAGCCAAAGCCGTTAATAAGTGTGACTCGTTGTCAGCTGTGATAATCAAGGCGCTGCGACGATTCCTTGAAACCTTTCACCTATTAAAACAAATTGTGTAATAAATCTATTGCCATATTATAATTAATTGCGCTGCTCTTGTAGCGGTGTGCGTGTATTACGTGGCACTGTTATCCTGAACGCGACATGGGCGCTTTTTACTATTTCTGCCAGCAACATGTATTGTCTAGCACTGAGCTCTGCCACTTAGGTTGGAGAGTTGCATAACAGTTTTCTAAACATCATTCACTTCTAAGAAACCAAAATGAGAAAGACCGGCGATAGTTTGTCCGTGCTAACTGTGTGGCAGTATACCTAACATGTGTTTGCAATGACAAATTACAAACGCGTTTCATATTAAAAAAAAATCGGCTACATTTGATCTTTTTTTAATGCTTTAAAATACTTTAAAGGAGCAGCACGTTCTAAAGCACCGATTTAAGCAACGTTGAACTAAAACACGACACGCTTCGATAGCCGCACTCGATAAAGAATGCTCACAAAAAGGTTATAGCTTATATATTGTTGTAGGATACAATTATCCAAGAGCTAAAGACGATCCACTAAAGCTTTTTAGTATCGACACACACCATTACTGCCTTCTCACCTCACCTGGTTGTTGGGATGCGTAAATATAAATGTCATTTACACATTCGTTGGCCATCATATAGCGTGAGTTACGCACACAATAATTTGTGCTCGCTGCTAGAAAACGGACCTTCGACAAGATTCCCGCGCCTGGAACATCGTTTTCGTTTCCATCGATCCCAATTTGAGGCAAGTTTGAGCGTGATCAGCCGTTTTTTTTTCTTTTTTTTAAGATGGAATGTTTTGTGAAGATGTAAGTCCATCCTTACATATTCAAGTCACCACATCTCGCGCATGTGTTTTGAGCTCCTTGATCAACCGAGAATATTTATGAAACGTTCCTTCAATGGGTGCGGTATGCATCGCAGCTCCAAAGTATGCGTTTACTTTGCCACGGGCTAAACCGAAGTACTTCGACAGCTCAATTTTGGTGACTGCGAGGGCGCAGCCTTGCAGCTCCGTAAAACGTACACCCGAGGGGCTAAGCTTTGCGAGAGCCAAAAAAAAAAAAATATAGGGCAGATTACGCGATAGGAGCCGAAGCTACCTGTAAGTCACGAGGTCGCTGCTGCCGCAGCCATCGCCCGTCGCTCAGAAAGGGGATTTTCTCGGCTTATCCTCTCAGAAGAAGCCGGCGCAAAAGGGGACCTTTCCCCTCGCCTCCCGGTGCTACAATACAAGAAAACAAGAGGGCGAGGAGGACTTTCCGCCAGGCGGAAGAATATTTCTGCAGGTCCCCCTTTAAACCGGCCAGCTCTCGATCGGCGGTCTTCGGGCGGAAAGAAAACAAAGGCCGAGCCGCAAATTGTGTTCTGGGTAGTTGGGCTCTCATATGTCATGTACAAGCAAAAACTTTAGTGAGCATAAATAGCCCGTCAGTGTGCCTTTAAATTCTTTCGGCATAATGACGAGACGTGCGGGAAATGTTTACATAAATGTCTTCACGGTTCTATTGATTGCCCTGAACTACTTCGTTTGTTTTCATTACGGTACCAAATAAAACTCTTCGTTCCCATCGTGTATTCGGTTGCTCGGAGCCAAAAAAACATGTGACCCCTTGAGCGTATTCAATATACTTTTAATGGGTCGAATTTGTCAAGCTCGTATATGGTAGGTATTTTGAACAGTGAAATTTTATTATGCGATTACTGCTCGAACGTCTTTGTGTTATTTGCCTTTGTTTTTGCGAATTAGAAATTTGTTAGTACTGTCTTTTGGAGAACGATAACTTTTATGCCTGTGTTTTTAAATGGGATATAGACATGCCTGTGTTCTTGCATATTTTACATAACTCTCTATTTTGTGTGTATTTCAAGTGTGTGTAACTGATCCAGTAGGTTTTCGAGTTGTTGGTCAACACAAGGGAACAATAAACATTTATTTTATTTTATTTTATTTTATTCGATTTGATTGGTGTTCTAGCCATGTTATTAACCCTTTTTCCCCGCAATTTTATATATCATATTTTTCTGTTCCATATTCACATCCGATCTAAATTGATTTTCCTCGCGCACCATAGGCCTCTTTCGTCCCCAGAATATTTTGTGTTCCATTAATTCCACATGCATTTTTTTTCTTTCGTTAGAATGGAGGATTCTGACAAAATGCGCACCTTTCTGTATCACTACGTGTTGTCCAAGGGCTTTTCCCTCCTTTCAAAACAAAATAAATAAAAAAACATGTTCAACAATAAACATATTGGAAGAATGCGAAAATAAAAAAAATAAACCCTTACGCACACTTGTGCCTGAAACTAATATAGCAGTAGCCGAGCATGCTGCGACGACGACAGAAGTGCAACTAGCCCAATGCTACCAGCCTCACATTTTTTATGTGTTATGCTGTCGAGAATTTTCTAGCCAAGGATACCCGATCGGTTCGTGGCTTCTACCAAACGCTTCAGAAAAGCAAGGAAAGCAAAAATTAAAAGTTATGCGCAGCGCAAGTTCGTCTCCTTTTTGCACAGGGCTGCGATGATGTTTGAGCGCCGAGCTTTTATCGGTTGATTGAAAAAACATAGTGGGTAGACCTCAAGGCAGTTTGCATTGAAGTCTACCCACTATCCTTCCAATCAAAGCCAATCAGCGCATGAGGTTGGTCTGACGCCACCGCAACTCATGCGCAAGTTGCAGACGATTTGCCCCTCGCACACTTTGTTTCACATTAAGTCCTACCGCACCGAACGTTGCGATTACATGGGGGTTATAAACCAGCCACAAAAGTGCATTGTCATAGTGCTGGTCGTTTTTCTTGCTCTTCTTACCACCGGCTCTACCAATCACGCACAGTGGATGTTACATCATTCCTCCCCTTTCATGCGTAGCATTGCTTTTCTGCTGACTGTAAAAGCAACAAAAATGACGAGCACCATGACAATGCACTTTGGTGCTGCTTGGTCGGCTCGATTGCCTGGTAGCATTGGGGGCCGTCAAACATAGAGCGAAACGAAATATGGGCCTCCGGAATTCATCAATTCAAACTCAATGCTTCCGATTGAACGAATCAAGGTCTTTTTCCTCCAATTTCGTTTGAACAGAATTATCGCGTTCAGTGCGCGTTGATCAGGCCGATCAACGCGCACTGAACGCGATAATTCTGTTCAAACGAAATTCAGTATTTTTTCAAGAGCATGGCGTCGGTGGAGCGTTGTATTTAGCAGGCAATGAACTAAGTGTGCTTTCGTTTACCACTTGGTTTTTCCAGAAAAGAAAAATTTCTCCAAAAATAGCTAATGATAAATGCAAATATCATCTTACCGTTCTGTATTTTTGCCAGTGATCCAAAGTTAAGAGCTTCCTTCCCAAGCGCATAGAGCTTACGGACGCAATGAAGTAAAGCAGACATTCACCACCTGGTTTCATCAAGTCGGCGATGTTCTTGAAGGCCTTTTCTTGATCCCTGGTCCAATGTAGGCATAAGAAGGAATAGACGCGATCGAACTGACCGTATCGCCCGACAAAGTCGGCCACCCCATTCCCCCCAATGTCCAGGACATCGTAGCAGATCTTCGGATGGGCAAACTTCCTATTGGCGTGTTCCACCATGTCCTGGGACACGTCGACGGCCACAATCCTCCCGACTTCTGGCCAGAGAGGGAGGAGATGGTCGCGGGTGAAGTCTCCGGTGCCACAACCCAGGTCGAGGAACTGTTGTTCCTTGGTCTCATCTGTAAACGAGCCTCGCATTAATTCCAGAACCTGGAGATTACTTTTCCGCTGACGGCTATTGTTATTAACGTAAAAATCAGGATCCCAGGTGATAGGTGGCTTCTTGCTTTGAGCTGGCTTGTTCGTAGCGCTGGGCGCAAGCATTGCCATTTTCGCGAATGACGGGTGAGCACGGCGATGAGTGGTGGTGCAAAGAGTCGCGTTTAAAGTGGACTATTCGATTAATTTGGCCTCGCTCTAACTCACATCTGCTATAGACATGTTGAAACATCTGTTGGTGGGCATGCGCAGTTTAGTGGAACGCATCCGGCGTTGCATCTGTAGAGCAGGAATTCGATAGTTTACGAAAGGCACACCGGATTTGCCAAGCGGTCGTCGATTCTACGGTTGAGCACCAGCCTATACTCGGAACGCAGCCGAATCTACAATGCGGTAGAGCCAATCGTATAGCAGCAAAAATTAGGGCTGGGCGTCGATTAAAAATTTTAACCCGATTAATCGCCACCCTTTAATCGGTTAATTAATCGATTAATCGGTTGCGTTAATTTTTAAAAATATTATATTAAAAAGAATGCAACAACTCGTCTTGCCTTTGAAGACTTGTTTTACTCTCTGTTAAACGGCGCAACGGACATTTAGAATTGAGGATACATATAGATCAACGATTCAAAGACTCACATATTTTTGCTCCAGCCTAGAAGACAAAGAAGTTTGTCCACATTCTCCAACAGGAAGACAGGAAGTCAGAGCTTGGACGATGCTTTCTTCTTTTTTTCAGAGAAAGGAACCTCGATGAGAAGGCGTTGATTGTTGTCTGCGTTTTGGCCGATGGTCCTTGCTGCAGCTACAGGGGTGCTTTGCTTGTAGGCGGTACTGAAGCTAACTTACTCTTCCACTGTACGAAAGCGGCTGATGCAGTGGACTTCCTTCGAGTTAAAAACTTCACCGCTGGAGTTTACTTTAAACGCAAACATTCCAGCGCGATTGCCGTTCATACTCGTGAACTCGTCCATTTTTACGTGCGGAATACTGGAACAAGTAGGCTAACCATGGCACTGTTAGCTTCCTGGCTTGTTTTTCTGCTTTTTGTGTTGCCTGGGCAGGATGTGTAATAGATCCTCAACACACTGTATTGTATATCCTCGAACACGTAACGCTTCGCGAGCGCGAGAATGGACCTTTTGCAGAAACATCGGTTCGAGAGTAAATGGTTCCAGTACCCTCTCTTTCTTCCTTCTGGACGAGCAGAGAGGGAAGATGGTTTCGTAGTGTCGACTTCGTTGCGGGAGATTACGCACGATGGGGACAAAAGCGAGTTCGGGGGTGCCGTATCTAGGTCACAGCGCCTCAATGGATGAACAGGATGTAGCTGACGTTTTGGGTGTGGAACGGGTGGGAGAGGCCTTGCGCGCACGTTGTTTTCTCGCCACTTAGCCTCGACCCCAGTCGCGTATCTAGGTGGCAGCACATATTCGCCAAGAGGTCCATTGAACCTTGCTTATAGCACCTGGCTTGGAACGGACTTCTTTTGAGTACCGATTAAAAAACCGATTAACCGATTAAGAAATTTAATCGCGATTAAAGCATTAATCGATTAATCGGAAGGTTACTCGATCAACTGCCCAGCCCTACCAAAAATGCATCGTCATGGCGCTTGTCGTTGTTTATTGTCTTAATCATGGGCAGTGAATACCCTTTAATCATGCGCTTTTTTTTTTTCTCTCTGCGTGATTGATTTAGCCGCTGATAGCAAAGGCACAAAGACCACGAATGCCGTTACGGACTCCTGCACGGTAGGCTTCATCGAATTGTGTCATTGACTAGGTTGAATTTATTGTGAAACGGAGCATAGGCGAAACATTTAGGAGTGTAAATAAAAGAGGAAAAAAACGTTCACCTACAACCAGGGTATTGAACCGAACCCGAACCGAAAACCGGAAAAAAACGTTATTTTCGCACGAACCGGGGTTGAACCGAAACGAAATAGTATTTTTCGCTCCGGAGCGGAACAGATATGTTTTCCGTGCGGTTTTCGGTTCATACGTGAAGTCAGGTAGCGTAAAAAGTGCGTGGCGAAAAACACAGTAGCCCAAAAAAATAAACAAAAAATGTAAACAAAAAAAAATCTTATTTTCGCGCAAACCAGGGAAAGCCGTGCCCCTGTTAAGAGACTACGTGTCTATTGTGTTATGTCGCTGATCAGAAAGCTAGGATTTAAGAAACCAATTCTTGATTGTCGAACGCGGTGTATGTCCACGCTGCACATGCTCACCAGGCTACTTGAACTAGGAGGCTTCGCTGGAGGGTTGCTCTGAAAAGAAGAAAGCTCCGGGTCGACTGAAGACGTATGGACGGAAGTTGAAATGCTCGCAGTATCGCTTCGCCCGGCAGAAGTGGCGACGAAGACATTGCAAAAGGAACAGATCACTGTAGAAGGTTTCTACGGTGCATGGCTGACATATTCCATGAACACTTCCAAGATATCCTCGCCGTTAGCAAAGGCCTTCGACCAGTCAATAAAAAAGAGAGAGCGACAACTTCTTGACACGGATGCTTCTGTGGAGCAGTGTACATGGATCCCCTCTACCGCCTTCTTCTCCCCCCTGAGCAAACGTACCGGGCCACGTTGCATTTGACAAATACTTGGAGGCGGATCACAGCTCTGCAATGCGAGATTCTATCCTGTCTCCTGTAAACTGCGGCAGCTTCAGAATATCCGGAAGAGACACCGGAAGTGCTCCTCAAGGAAAGAATGGTTGAGGCTGGCGTGCACATTGACCCCGTAAGTGATGACGCCACAACATGGCGTCTGGGTCCAAACAAACCGTTGCTAGGGACGTTGCTATAAGCTAATGCATGGAGACTCCACATGAGGCTAGATTTTTGCTTACAAGTAAGTAAATAATTCTTTGTAAGCAACCTAACTTCTTGATATCTAATTATGAATATGTTCTTGTCGTTTCAGTGTCGTATTGCAACGATAAAAGCCATTTCTGAAGTATTACACTCTGCTTTGCTTTGGTTGCAGACGACAGGATAGATTTGTTCTCCTCTGTTGCAGCGGGCGTCTTCATTGAATTGCGTCGGTAAACAAGCGATAAAAACAAGTGCATCTCCGTGAACGTTAAGGCCTCTGCAATGTGCGTTTTTTTTTTTTTTTTTTTCTGTGAAGAACTTAGCTTAGTTTAGAGGGGTGAAAATGCCGCAAAAATCAAACCACGTCATGCAGATCATTTACGACGACGACCTGAAGTGCATTACCGGCGTAGTGCAGGCCAGTATGAGAAATAAATCGTACGCTGATTATCGAGGTTCTCAGGTTATTAAAGAATACCAAGTCTATCGCGATATTTCAGTAACCATTGCAGCGATGGTTACAACCAGGTACGACGCAGCCTCACATAGCGCGAGTCCATAAACAAAATTTGGGATCTCGACCGATCACCAGAACTGCTTTTCTCACTGGTCCAATGCAATCTTTCATCAGAGGATCATCTCGATCGACGCCCGGACTTTCGATAAACAATATTTTGCATCGCACTCCACTATGAATTCTTTTAAGTTACTGAAAATCATTATATTTAGATCAAGTGCAATATAAGAATATCGTCCTTATTCACACGATTTAAACGACAGCGCCGGCTTGGCATGCCGGCATGTGGCAGACGGCATAGTTCCTGCATTCGTCGTCTGCTGCAGGCGCCTGGAGGACCGGAAGTTGCAGTCGTAAATATTTCAGAAACAAGCGATTACTGGCACACTTCTGTCGAAACATATATGACGTTCAAGCTTTGTATATCTGTGATTTTTAAAAGTTTAAATCCTACTCCTGATTTTTGAACGGTCGGGTTTTCGTGGCGAAACCTAGCCACATCTATTTCTCCATATCAACGACCCTAGCAACGGTTTGTTTGGACCCATAACGTCACACTTACGGAGTTCGTTCGCGGTACCAGTAGTCCACTTAATATCTCCTGTCCTGTATACGTCTTCTTGTCTTTTTTGCGTTATTTTATATGTTTAACTAAGGTGAACCACTTGATATGGCATTGCTCCTGAAAATGCTGGACAACGAGTGGCGGCTTTCAAGGCACGCTAACGTGTTACAGTTTTGAAACGAATGACGGGAACGCCATCAAGAACTCTGCAGATTGGAGCAAGTATCCCTGGAAGTACCTGCTGGCCAGGACAGCGTGGAGTGAGCCTTTTTTGCACCGAAGTTCATTCTATCGTCTCAAATGTGCTGTCTTTCACCGGATATGCTTGATGACATCCTGCTTCTTCGGTCGCTTGCCTGGCATTGAACTGCTCTTTTACCTAGGTCCCGAAATGCCCCAGCACTAGCGCGTTCGATCCACACAGTTATGTTAGCCTTTGCTTTTTATATGTAACACTTGTATAAAACGTGCATAGTTTATCTTTTGGAATAAAAAGTGAAGGCCGTTTACAACTCCCTGTAACGCCGAATTAGAGCGCAGCTCTTGAGGAGGAGGGGGGAAGGGTACTGGGGGGGGGTCAAATGACCTCGGGTGGCGGGAGGGAGGGTCACGTGACCTGGGGGGTCAAGTGAATATGCGTCATCAGTGACGATGCGGATACCGATGACGTCATCAGTGACGTCACTGATGACGTCATCAGTGATGATGACGATGACGATGCGCATGCCGGTGACGTCATCAGTGACGTCACTGATGACGTCATATCTGACGATGCGGATGCCGGTGACGTCATCAGTGACGTCACTGATGACATCATCAGTGTTTATGACGTCAACGGGGGTCACGTGACCTCGGGGGGGGGGTGGTCACGTGACCTCAGGAAGTGACGTGGCCTCGGGGAGTGGTCACGTCACCCCCCAGGTCACGTGACCTCGGGGG